ACTCTGAGGCTGTGTCTACACAGCAGCATTATTTCGGAATAACAGCCGGTGCCAAAAGTCAAAATAAGCTTTCAACTTAAGCTACGCAATTATTGTGTAGTCATGCCCTGAGTGAAGTCACTGGGGATAGGGGACTGTGAGTGGTTTGGGGGGAGCACTGTGATTCTCATCCTGCAGCTCATGTAACCCATCGTGGGCCATCTATGAGGCACATAAAATGATAAACAGATTTAGAACCATTAGTCTATGCTATGCTGAACTAGCTTAACTAAGCTATTATGTATGAAAACTATGAAGAGCTATTTACAAAAGTGTACATCTCAATTAAATTGAATTAAGAGTGAAAGAGGGATAGGGGTTTCAACTCAGACCATACAGCAGCAAGATGAAACTGGAGTGGCATCAATCCACACTGGCCCTTATACTATTTGTCGGAAGCATGAAGAAACACGCTGTGCACTTGTGCGTCAACAGATGCTGCTTGGAAAAATTTCTGGACTCACATACTTAACATGTACATGCACCCACACGTGGACTAAACATAGAGATCATCACACAAAGAAGACAGGGTTGTTTCTTACAGAGATTCTCTGCTGGAGTGTATCTGCAGCAGACACATCTGCTGATTTTTCTGAGTTCTAATTCCAGCCTGTTTTCTCAGATTCTGATGCAGTCCCATGTAAGTGGCTGGAATTTCCTACTAATTTAGAGAAAGCCTGGATCATAGTGAACTACAATACTGGCAATGCCAAAAAAGACAGTTACCTGTTTCATAACTGGTATTCTTCAAGTTGTTTTCTCATGTCCATTCCACATTAGGTATGCATGCTTACCAGATGCATCGGGGTCAGAAGTTTTTCTCCTACCAGCATCTGTAGCAGATCTGGTGACCGGTGGAGAGGCGCTACCATGGTGTGATATAAATTCCTTCTTGCTGGAAACTCCAACAGCAGGAAAGGAGGGCAGGTTGTAGAATGGACATTAGCAACACATCTCAAAGAACACCAGTTACAAAACAGGTAACTGTCTTTCTTCTTTGAATAATTCCTCATATCCATTTCACATTAGGTGCTTCCAAGGAGGTGGGTAAGAGTTCATGGCTGTGATGATTGCAGCACAGCTCTGCCGAACCTACCATCATCTCTAGCCTGCTGTGGAAGGTTGTAGTGAGCTGTAAAGGTGTGGACTAAGTATCATGTTGTGACTCTACAGATGTCCTGGATCAGCACTTGCACCAGGAAAGCCGATGATAATGCCTGGGCTCTGGTGAATAAGCCTGAACAATCTGCAGTGGGAGGACTTTTGCTAGTTTATACAGGTCCAGATACATGAGGTAATCCAATTAGCCAGCAGCTCTGGAAAGTCTTTCATCCTGTCAGTCACAGTGACAAAAAGCTGAGACAACTTGCAGAGCAGTCAGGTATGTTCCCAGTAAAAAGCCAAGGCCCTCTGGATATCCAGGACATGTTGCTGCCTCTCTTCCTCTCCTGTGAGGTTGGTGACCCCACAGTATGCTAACATCTTTATGGCTGACCTAGAACAACGTTTCCTCAACTCCCGTCCCCTTTCGCCCCTCCTCTACCTACGGTACATCGATGACATCTTTATGATCTGGACGCATGGCCAAGAAACACTGGAGATATTCCACAGAGATTTCAACAACCTACCCCCCACCATCAACCTCAGCCTGGACCATTCTACACGAGAGATCCACTTCCTGGACACCACCGTACAAATCAACAATGGAAAATTAGACCCCACTCTCTACAGAAAACCCACCGACTCATACAGTTACCTACATGCATCCAGCTCCCATCCAGAACACACCACACGATCCATCGTCTATAGCCAAGCCCTTCGATACAACCGCATCTGCTCTAATCCCACTGACAGAGACCAGAAGCTTCAGGATCTCTACCAAGCATTTATAAATCTCAACTACCCACCCAGAGAAATAAAAAAGCAAATTGAAAGAGCCAGACGAATACCTAGAAACCATCTACTTCAAGACAGACCCAAGAAAACCAACAATAGAACACCACTTGTCATCACCTACAACCCCCAACTTAAACCTGTCCAACACATTATCAATAAACTACAGCCTATACTGGAACAGGATACCATACTCCAAGAGGCTCTGGGAGACAGACCCATAGTCTCCTATAGACAACCACCTAACCTCAAGATGATTCTTACCAACCACCACAGGACATACCACACTAATACCAACCCTGGTACCTTCCCTTGCAACAAACCCCGTTGCCAGCTTTGTCCACATATTCATTCTGCTGATACCATTATTGGACCTAACCAAGTGAGTTATAAGATCAAGAACACATATTCCTGTGCATCCAGAAATATAATCTATGCTATCATGTGCCGAAAGTGTCCGTCTGCTATGTACATTGGACAAACATCTCAGACACTTCGCCAAAGGATTAATGCCCACAAAACAGATATCAGACAAGATCACAAAGAGAAAACAGTTTCTTGCCATTTTAACCAGAAAGGACACTCTCTCAATGACTTAACCACCTGCATTCTGCTACAAAGACCTTTTACATCTGCACTTGAAAGGGAATCCTCTGAACTGTCATTCATGTTAAAATTCGACACTTTCCAACAAGGACTTAACAAACATTTGAACTATCTCACCCATTACCAAGATAGTTTCCCCAATTATCACCTCTAATACCATTAACTCACAAACATCCCACTCTCCCTACCTCTAATATCATCAATTCACAGACACTTACCTTCCTTCCTTCCCCCCCCCCCGCATCCCCCTTCTGTTCTGCAATGTGATTTGTCCTTTTCATATTTGTTCATTTTTTTTAATTGTATCCTTTGGTATATATGGTTGTGACTACTTTCTTCCACTATTTGATCTGAGGAAGTGGGTCTGGCCCACGAAAGCTCATCATCTAATAAACCATCTTGTTAGTCTTTAAAGTGCTACATTGTCCTGCATTTTGCTTCAACTACCCCAGACTAACACGGCTACATTTCTATCACTATTCTCAGACATGCGTGAGAGATATCTAGGAACTGCTGTGTAAACCCTCAAGGGTTCCACAATCATGCCAGTACTTGTGCTTCTTGAGGGCTGGGGCAGCACTGGGTGAATCTCCACTTATCCTAGTAGTAGTTACCCTTGCTCCTTACCAACCTGTGAGGATGTGAGTGCATTGTTTGGTGACTACGAATAGGAGGGCTCATGACTGCCTCCCTCATAGCAGTATGCACTGCAGGCTCACCAGTGTCTCTTCAACCGTAAAGAGCCTTTACTGCAGGACCTCAACGCCTGTTGGGTAAAGGCAATCTACACTTTTCATCCTCCCATTGGCACTTGGATCTGGAATGGGACAGAGAGCTAGAATGAGACCAGCAGTCCAAGACCACAAGGACTGCTGTGACATGTATTGGTGCCAATGAGACGATGACTGATGCTGATATTCTGTAATAGTTCCAGGAGCAGTGCCAAGGCCTCAGTGATGTTGATCACTCCTCTTGGTTCCTGTGCTGGGGGATGCATGCCTCGCAAGGTCTGTATCACTGAATTGATGAGCACTGCATCAAACCCTGGGCATCGGGGCATGTCCTGTCCCTAAACAAAGTTCTATCCAATACAATGCAATGAGTACAAACTAAATAAACTGCTAATGAGGTTAAACTATTGAACTGAGGAAAGCTAGCAATGAACAGTCAAAGCCAGTAGTTCTGATGCTCCGGCACTGGCAGGGCCAGACAGAGACATGGGCGAGCTGGGCAGCTGCCCTGGGCATCAACCCACAGGGGGACGCCTGATGGCAGCTGTAAGGGACGCACGGTGTCCCTTACAGCTGCCATCAGGAGCCGCGTGCTCGGCTCCCGCTGAGCCAGCCAGCAGCACCCTTGCCCCCACGGCTGCGGGGCCCTGCACAGTCTGGTGCGTGCACCAGCAGCACTAGCTGGGATGGGCTGGACAGCACATGTGCTGTGCAACCCGGGGGCGGGATCCAGGCTGCGTGCCAGTGGCTGTGACCGGCCCGCGCATGCACCGAGTGTCCTGGGGTGGGCTCTGGGCTTTGCGTCGGCGGCTGTGGGCGGTGCATGCATGCGCCATGCGCCCCGGGGGCGCGCCCGCGTCCCATGGGCGGGCCTGCGCATGCACCCTGCGGCGGAGCCACACACCTGGGCCCAGGGCGCCAAAAGGGCTCAGGCCAGCCCTGGGCACTGGCAACAAGAAGGAACTCAGATTGGAGGGAGCATGTAGCGCCCATTATACCACGCCGCGGCAGCATCACTCCAGGGCTTACTATAGTCACTCCCCTACACATATCTAATGTGGAATGGACATGAGCAATTATTATAAGAAACAACCTCTTTGCAAGACTGCACAGATCAGAATTTCATAGACAGAGGGTGCTGGACAAATACAATACCGGAGCATCAAATAAAAATTGTATTAAAGCAATGAAAATGGAAGCTTACTGTTTAAACAATCACAGAACCAACCAGACAATGGAGAAAATACAGCAACGATATATAAAGAAGACACACATTGCAAAAGTCACAAAATCAGGAATTTCTTCCCATATCCCAGTCATGGAGGAAATTCATGGAAATATTTCTTCTGTATGTGGAAAGACATGCAATGGCCAGTTGGGAGCACTGGCTCACATTTACCCTACCAATACTGATCTCAGGAATAAAATATTTTTCGAGCTTTTAGAGTTCTGCCAGACTCGATCAAGAGGCAGAGACCCAAGTGCAAGAATCCTGCTAGATGACTGTATTTAAATATTTGTAATTTCCATATTTAAAGTTCTTTTGAACAAAATATTTAGACCAAAAACCAGAAAAACCCAAACAAACCAAATTTGTGCTTCTGAGAGATGTCACAGGCCTCAGGCAATTTACTGACAATGCATTTAAAATGGTGGCATGATTGTAAGCCATATATTCAGCAGCTTATATATATGTAAAAACACTCTCAAATGTTTATTTATATTTATTACCTTTTGTATTTTTTCTCCTTCATTTTTATCAACAATTCCACCTGATATCAATACTTTAAGAGTTTCTGTAGCTGTATTTAGCACAGTTTGGACTGCCTGTTTGGTTTTCACAGCAGTAACAATGTCTGGATAATCACGCTGCATTAAACCTAAAATAAATAAGAAATGTTCCAAGTTTTCTACTTAACATTTTCAATGGTAACACATTGAGGGGAAATAGTAAATATGCTTGACAAATTGATGAGGAAAATTACTTAGTGTAATTCCATTTGTCATTGTTATTACTTCTACACGCAAATAGAAAAAATCATCACCTGCAGTATAAATCTGCACTGACAAGAAGGATGAAAAAAATCCTCCCCCCACCAAACCCAAACCCAGACTATGAAATTTTTTTCTCCCCAGCTATGTCTGAGGAAGATGAGCTTATATATGAAATTCAAATTCCAAAAATCTAATCTGAGGAGAAAAATATTTTTTGTTTTAAGTAACAAAATATAAAAATGAAGTATAAGCATCTGCCTGTGGAACAAGGACTGTTCCTCTGCATTACATAACTAAGTGTATGAATAATTTGTATTTTCTCATTTCAGTTACAACTTTTTACTACCTTGTTGTGTTTTTTTTATATTATTGTTGCATTCAGATTTCTGTCACACAGTTGAGATATCTACGAACATACTCAGCAACATGTAACATCTAATGTTTGACAATTACAGGCCAATATTTTTTAGACGGTGAGTCCACCAATGTTAAAACAGTGAACATAAGAACATAAGAACGGCCGTAATGGGTCAGACCAAAGGTCCATCTAGCCCAGTAGCCTGTCTGCCGACAGTGATCAGCACCAGGTACCCCAGAGGGGGTGGACCGAAGACAATGAGTAAATGATTTTGTCTCCTGTCATCCTTCTCCAGCCTCTGACAAACAGAGGCTAGGGACACCATTTCTATCCCCTGGCTAATAGCCTTTTATGGACCTAACTTCCATGAAATTATCTAGCTTCTCTTTAAACTCTGTTACAGTCCTAGCCTTCACAGCCTCCTCTGGCAAGGAGTTCCACAGGTTGACTACACGCCGTGTGAAGAAGAACTTTCTTTTATTAGTTTTAAACCTGCTACCCATTAACTTCATTTGGTGTCCTCTAGTTCTTCTATTATGGGAACTAATAAATACATTTTCTTTATTCGCCCTCTCCACACCACTCATGATTTTATAGACCTCTATCATATCCCCCCTCAGTCTCCTCTTTTCTAAACTGAAAAGTCCCAGTCGTTTTAACCTCTCTTCATATTAGAGAGACAAGGTGGGTGAGATAATATCTTTTGTTAGACCAGCTTCTGTTGGTGACAAAAACAAGCTTTCAAGCTTGCACAGACCACTTTTTCAGGTCTGGGAAACTTCGTGTCACGTTATTGGATTTTAAGGTGAGCAGGCAGATCATTGTTGCACCCGCTAGTGTGTGTTTGTGCCAAATTCTGTATGAAGTGGGCCAAGTGAGGTGTCAGATGAAAGTTTATGCAATGCTGATTCTATGTACGCTACTCATATACTGGTATGATATTTTTATGTACAGTTATGGATATGGGCTCTGTACTTGTATTGAAATGTCCTCTGTTTGGGAGTAAGCAATGGACCTCCACCACCTATTTTGAGGAATGGTTATCCAATGAATAGCTATGCTAATTAGTGATGCTGCATAGACTAAGGCTCTCAAGGTTGCCAATATACACCTGAGTAATGTGTCTGGAAACTGCAAACCATCATGGCTACTTGCGTGAAAGACACAGACAGGTCACTTGATCATGTGACCAGGTCCAGTTTGGGAGGCACCAGGAACATAAAACCCTAACAGTCCCATTCTCAACCCTTTTCTTTCTTTTTTAATAAACCTTTAGATTTTAGATTCTAAAGTATTGGCCCAGCGTGCTCTTTTGGATAAGATCTGAGAAATAAATTGACCTGGGACACTGGTTGGTCCTTTGGGACTGGGAGAACCTGTTCAGACATGGTGAGATTGGGTTTTATAACCTCTCATCTGTGTAAGGTCTGGGTCTGATTGTGGCACAGGGAATGCTGGGGTGTTGTAGGGGTTTTGGCTTGTGAGGCTTCTTGCTGGCCAGAGGGGCAGCTGAAGTGCTCTGTGTGACTGGTCTGGTGCCTTTACAGGGAAGGACATCAGTCGTGGGCTGTAAGTTGCCCTGATTCTGAGCAATTCGCCCTGATCCGACACTCTCAGCAGTGCCCAGACTGACCTGTTATGTTATACTTAGGCCTTCACTGCATATCTTTGATATAACTATATTACTCAGGGGTTTGAAAAATCTACAGCCTTGAATAACTTAGTTATGCCAGTGTTAAACTGCCATGTAGACTGCACTATGTTGGTGGAGAGCTCCAATCTGTATAGTTGCCCCTCTCAGAGGTGCAGTTACTAAGCTAATGGGAGAACTTCACCAGAAGTTTGTAGGGTTGACCTGCCCTTATTCAAAGTGACACATCTAAGTACAAGGTGAAACAGATGGAATGGTCCCTTAAAATGTGTGTTAACTATTTATGCTAGAGAAAGTGAAACAGCCAATTAACTTCCCACCAGTCATGGGGAGGAAAGAAAGATGGGTGAAGCAGCTGAGGAGGAGGTTGTAATAAATCATAACTCTAGTATCTCTTTAGTTCATGATTTTTGGTGTCTAGTTACAAATTTAAGCATTCTGGGTTTTTTTAAGTATGTTAGTTTTCCTATGAAATGATCTGACCGATAGGTCAGATACATAGTGCTTGCTTTGTGAAAAGCAAGGTGGATAAAAATTATTTTTTTAAAAGGGATTTTTTTAATTTAAATTGGATTTTTTGATAAAATGCTTTTGGAAGAAAAAATCACTAAGATACATTATAGCTTGAATATATCACATCATGGAATAGGAATTATAAATTTTATTTCTATACTATGAGACAATATGTTCATGCACTGTTTAAGAAAAGTTTTTTGTAAATGAGTTTCAATAGTTCCTGGATGAGGGATCCAATCTTACCGGATTCCAGAGGCTTTTGTATAGCTTATTTAAATTAATCTTTTTTTATCTACCCAATGAGACACAGAGCTCCGTGTAGAAGATACCATCAGAGATGCTTAGTTTTGCAGTTTTCAAACTGTGGATTTGTGTCTCCAGAGATACCATGCTTATTAACAGCAAAACATGTTTTTAAATAAATAATATATGGAGATGAGAAATAACAGACAATTCTGTGACTGGTGCTTTTTTTGTAAGAAAAATGGTGCCAGTACTCTGGGGCAAACTTGTTGAGCAAAAAAAAAGGAGCCAAAGCACCGTGCTGAGAGCCAGAGAAAAAAACACTGCACGTCCCGAGCAGGCTTCTGTCAGGAGCCAAGCCGTCCCAGTAAAACAGGTGCCAGTATGCGTGGGGGAAATCCCATTCCTTTTCTGTGGGCTGGGAAAATAGGTGTGACAGTAAGAAAGTAATGAGGAGGGCAGCCGTGGTATTTTAACATCATAATTATTTTCCTGTTCTTACAACTGTTCTCTTGTGATATACTTTATAGCCTGGTATGATTGTGTCCCACAGATTTTCCTCATTCTACCAGGTTTCAATGATGCCTATTATGTCAATCTCCTCCTTTAATACGAGGTACTCTAGTTCACCCATTTTATTAGTCAGACTCCTAGCATTTGTGTAGAAGCACTTTAAAAAATTTGCCACTGCTTATTTGTCTGCCCTTCCCTGATGCACTGGATTCCTTTATATGTGGTTGTTTGTCTGCTCTGGCCCATGGTTTGTCCTCTCCCCTCCTCTCTTTATCACTACAGCTTAGAGAATCTCTATCAATGGATTCTCCTCTAAGAGAAGTCTCCGTCCGATTTATGTGCATCTCCACATCAATCAGCTTTCCCCCATCTCTTAGTTTAAAAACTACTCTACGGCCTTTTTAATGTTTAGTGCCAGCGGTCTGGTTCCACCCCGGTTTAGGTGGAGCCCATCCTTCCTGTAGAGGTGCCCCCTCTCCCAAAAGTGTCCCCAGTTCCTAATAAATCCAAACCCCTCTTCTCTACACCATCATCTCATCCATGCATCTGAAGCTCTGCCTGCCTACCTGGCCCTGCATGTGGAACTGGAAGCATTTCCAAGAATGCCACCATAGAGGTCCTGGATTTCAGTGTCTTTCCTAGCAACCTAAATTTGGCCTCCAGGACATCTCTCCTACCCTTCCCTACGTTATTGGTACCTACATGTACCACGACCACTGGCTCCTCCCCAGCACTACACATAAGTCTATCTAGATGCCTCGAGAGATCCGCAACCTTCGCACCAGGCAGGCAAGTGAACATACGGTTCTCCCGGTCATCACAAACCCAACTATCAATGTTTCTAATGATCGAATAACCCACTACTAACACCTGTCTCTTCCTAACAACTGGCGTTCCCTCCCCGTCAGAGGTATCCTCAGTGCGAGAGGATACCGCAACATCCTTTGGAAGGAGGGTCCCAACTATGGGATGGTTTCCCTCTGTTCCCATTGAATGCTCTGTTCCCTTGAGACTTTCATCCTCTTTAAGAGCACTGGGGCTCTCAGACTGGGACAGTACTACAGTGTCCCGGAAAGTCTCATCAACATAGCTCTCTACCTCCCTTAGCTCCTCCAGTTCAGCCACCCTGGCCTCCAAAGCCCGAACTCGGTCTCTGAGGGTCAGGAGCTCCTTGCAATGGGTGCACACATACACCACTCACCCACAGGGCAGGTAATCATACATGTTACACTCAATAGAACTACCCCCCCCAAACACCCTAAACTCTAACCCCTGCCAAAACTGGTTACTTATATGTCAATAATTGTTCTTTGAGACTTCTTACATATGTCCTTTCCACGGTAGGTATATGCACATCTCAAGTACAACTGCCAGAATTTTTTTTCTATAGCATACACATCTGATCAGCTCTGTTGCCCTCTGATCAGCTCTGTTGCCCTCTTATGCTATATGCTTATAGCACTAGTATCTGGCATCTCCCAGATCGGTTACTTTTTGCTGGCCAACTTTCACAGATGTGTAGAGAATGGGTGCTGGAATGGACATTTGCAACACAACTTTTCCATAACTGCTGTTCTTCAAGATATTGTACTTTTTTTTCTTTG